TGGATGGAACTAGAAACCAGCAATTTGAGAGTTTATATTGACATTCCAAGAGTAGTGATGTCCCGAACGGTTCGCATGATATATGGAAGTAATGGAAAAAATATAAGAAAAAACATAAAATTCTGAATAGGCTAACCCATGTCTTTCTCTTAAGTATGTCAAGGTTAATATAGAGGATATAGCCTTAAAAAATTGGAAGGAGAAGAGTATCTACAAAATAGGAAACCTGATAACAGAAAATAATATTGAAGATTTCCACACTTTGAACATGCAATATAGCTTGGGCCATAATGAGGTTTTTAATTATACATGAATTAAATGGTTTTTGATTAAATATCTAGCTCCGAGCTCAGTTAGGGTGAAGGCTCCGGGACAACTGATGGAAAGAACATCTTTAAAGAGGATGTTGGCTGGTTGTGAGGAACTGGGTTCCAGAGACGCGGAACCACTTATTAAACCTATTCGTTCCTTGAGAAGAACATGGTTATCAGCAAAAATCAGCATGGTTTTATGAAGCACAGGTCATGTCAAACTAACTTGATTGCGTTCTATGAAGAAATAAGTAGAAGTATAGATCAGGGTGTTGCCGTGGATGTGATCTATTTGGATTTTGCCAAGGCATTTGATACAGTTCCACACAATAGATTAGTGTTCAAACTAAAATCGGTCTAGATGAAAATGCTTGTTCTTGAGTAGAACATTGGCTTAAAAACAGAGTACAAAGAGTTGTCATTAATGGTAAATTTTCAAGCTGGACAGAGGTGGCAAGTGGTGTCCCTCAGGGGTCTGTTCTGGGACCCCTTCTATTTAACATGTTTATAAATGATCTTGAAGACCGCATTGAAAGTCATGTTTCAGTGTTTGCAGATGACACCAAACTTTGTAAAACAATACAATGTGAGCAAGATATTACTTTGCTGCAGAGGGATTTAGATAGACTGGGGGACTGGGCACTCAAATGGCAGATGAAATTTAATGTTGAAAAATGCAAAGTTATGCACTTCGGCGTAAAGAATACACAAGCAACGTATACCCTTAATGGAAGCGAATTAGGGATAACAACACATGAAAAGGACTTGGGAATTGTTATAGACAACAAACTATGCAACAATGTGCAATGTCAATCAGCAGTGGCCAAGGCCAGTAAGGTATTGTCATGCATGAAAAAGGGCATTCATTCTCGGGACAAGAATATAATTTTGCCTCTTTATAAATCACTGGTAAGACCACATATTGAATATGCTGTGCAATTTTGGGCACCTGTTCTAAAGAAGGATATTATGGCACTAGAAAAAGTGCAGAGGCGGGCTACAAAATTAATAAAAGGAATGGAACATATCGGCTATGAAGAAAGGTTAACAAATTTAAACCTATTTAGTTTAGAAAAACGTCGCCTGAGAGGGGATATGATAACATTATACAAATATATTCGGGGCCAATACAAACCATTGTGTGGAAATCTATTCACAAACCGGACTTTACATAGGACACGAGGCCATGCGTTTAGACTGGAAGAAAGAAGATTTCGTCTAAGGCAAAGGAAAGGTTTTTTTACTGTAAGAACAATCAGGATGTGGAATTCTCTGCCTGAAGAAGTGGTTTTATCAGAGTCCATACAGATGTTCAAACGGCTACTAGATGCATACTTGCAAGAACAGAATATTCAAGGATATAATCTTTCAATGTAGGGTAATAACTGCTTGATCCAAGGATAAATCTGACTGCCATTCTGGGGTCAAGAAGGAATTTGTTTCCTAGCTTGTTGCAAAATTCTGCTTCAAACTGGTTTTTTTTGCCTTCTTTTGGATCAACAGCAAAAAACAAATGTGAGGTAGGCTGAACTTGATGGACTCAAATCTCTTTTCAGCTATGTAACTATGTAACTATGTAACTATGTCCCGAACGGTTCGCCAAATGGTTTGCGAACGGTTCGCCACAAACGGTTCGCCACGAACGGTTCGCCATGAACGGTTCGCCATGAACGGTTCGCCACGGACTCATCATTGAGTAAACTTTGACCCTGTACCTCACAGTCAGCAGACACATTCCAGCCAATCAGCAGCAGACCCTCCCTCCCAGACCCCCCCACCTCCTGGACAGCTCACTAAGAATGCAGCTTCAAAATGGATGCTGTCCAGGAGGTGGGAGGGTCTGGGAGGGAGGGTCTGCTGCTCAATGATGAGTCCGTGGCGAACCGTTCGTGGCGAACCATTTGCGAAACGTTCGGCGAACCGTTCGGGACATCACTATCCAAGAGATTGAGACAATGGATATTCTTATAGGTTTTGTTCAAAGTCCTTCTCTAATCATCACCCTCAAGTGTAATATTTAAGTTTAAGGCCCATTTCTCACGAATAGGTTTAATAAGTGGTTCCGCGTCTCTGGAACCCAGTTCCTCACAACCAGCCAACATCCTCTTTAAAGATGTTCTTTCCATCAGTTGTCCCAGAGCCTTCACCCTAACTGAGCTCGGAGCTAGATATTTAATCAAAAACCATTTAATTCATAGATAATTAAAAACCTCATTATGGCCCAAGCTATATTTCATGTTCAAAGTATGGAAATCTTCAATATTGTTATTTTTCTGTTATCAGGTTTCCTATTTTGTAGATACCCTTCTCCTTCCAATTTTTTAAGGCTATATCCTCTATATTAACCCCGACATACTTAAGAGAAAGACATGGGTTAGCCTATTCAGAATACGAAACACATGGTCAGTGACATAAAACACGTATACAAACAACAAAAAACAGATCCCATTCCCCTCTCATATGGGTCTCTTTTAATTGTATACCTAAATCAGTAACAAAAACAAAAAAACCTACCTCAAAATATGAAATTATATCCTAATATCTCCGTTACCCAAAGACAATACATCGTTCCACCTGACAAAAATCCAACAGATATAGAGAGACCCCTTTCTAGAGTTCTTCTAATATTTAAGCACCTTTTTACAAACCCCATCTGATCACCATGTATAATATGATTTATTCAATCTTGAAGTGTGTAAATATAGTATTATATAGTATTCCTGTAGTTAGTTATTATCTACAATATAATTGAAATTCTTATGTTAGCCGTCTCTCTAAAGGTACTTAAAAAAATACTTGGTAGCATTGGTTACTAAAGTATCTGGGCCGGGGAAAGATCCCTATTGCTAATCATCGTTGGTTCAGTTTTTTAAATCTCCTGGACACCTTAGAATCTGATATTTATTGTTAAACAAATTACAGCAAAATCTACTCCAAGTTTAGTTTTAACTCCTAAAAAGCAGAGGAGAGAAAAAAAAGTTTGTTAATAAGTTATAAGTCTCTTTCTTGTGTGATCATGACCGCGGAGAGTTGAGAATAAGGATTCCATCAGACCTGTTGACAAATATTATCCACTTGCTCTGATAATTTATTTTAACTCTTCTTTTTTTCCATCAATCCGGTTTTACAGAAAAATTTATTTTTGAAGATCTCTACTTTATATGTTAATCTTTAACCTGCTGGAAAAGTCCAAGAATATTGATATTGTATTTTTTCTTAGAATTAACATAGACTCTGTCCAGCCTCCGTGCCCTTCTCAAGCCTTGGAAAATTGTTGTTTATCTTGATTTCTTATACCTTGATCCTGTTATAACTTTTACTCTCATAGCCATTATAATATCAGACTTTATTTTAGAGGATTGCAGACAGGCGATGACCTATCTGGGTAAAGAATATGCTAAATAGGCAGCTTTAGGAAACAGATTATACAGATTATTAATACAGATTATTTTCTATCTGAATGCCAAGAAACTGAAAAAATTCAATCAGATATGCCTCCAGGTTGCTTTGGGCTCATTTGTTAACAGCTCTCTATACACATTGTGTGCTCCAAACAGCACTTTGTAGCACCGTTTATCATAACCTTACTTATTAATCCTATGTCTCTAGATTGCTTTACTTCGGTTTAGTTAATATATTTGTTTCTATCTAGCTTATTAGCAGAATCTCTTTATGCAGATTATCGTTCTACTATTCTAAGATCTGTTAGTCTATCAGCTCTATATCGATCTAATTATTTTCTCTTCTTTTGCTGTGATTTTTGGACATCTAAATCTACCTATATAAGCTTTTTCAGCTATTTAGAAGACCTATACAGTCCATTAGCACGTTATCGATCTTTAAAGAGACAGACCTCATAATCGATTTATTTATTATCAGACAGATCTTTTAGTTTGGTAAATTATCAATTACTATGGATAATTAACTACTCTCCATACTGATTTATATATATATATATATATAATTTTTGATAGGACATATATGGTCCATCATTCTATTATGGAGATTTAAAGTGCCAGATTTAATATATTCATCGATCCATTGGATTGGCACTCTGCTTCTTTAGCCTGGTATATTACCAGCCACAACTGACAGGAATGGCTTTCATATTCTGATCTGCTACTATATCTTTGCTTTTATTTTATCTAGACGATTTATATTTTTCTTTATAGATCTGTCTAGTAACTATTTCAAGATCTAATTTTTTGGTGGTAGCACGTATTCGGGTCACATATTTTTGCTTTGCTTAATAAAACTTTTATTATTTTTGTTTTTAGTGGCTTTATCTGACCTTTATAGTAGGCTATTTGTTGGCTATCTTGAATTTCGTTGATGCTTATATTTTGCATCATGAATTATATACACTTTATCTTGTTCCCTTTATTCCTGGTAAACTAGTTTAACCCCTTAAATCCGCAGGGCGTACTATTACGCCCTGCAGGAGCCGGCTCTAAACGCCGGCGGGCGTAATAGTACGCCCTCGCTTTAATGGCCGCCCACGTGGCCGGCTCTAATCTCCCGCTGCAGATCAAATATTGTTCACAAATCTGTCTAAATCAGGCAACCCCCCCTGTGGCCGGTGACCGAGATCTGCAGCTTCTGATCGCAGTGACAGGCTGTCACTGCGATCAGTAGACAAGCGTGTGTCAGCCGATTTCAAATCGGCTGACACACGTGGCCAGCGGCTACCCCTGTGCAGATCGCGGTCGGGGGACATACCTGGCCCCCCAGGCAGTCCCCCTGGGGTCAGTGACCGCGATCTGCACTGTGTGAGATCGCAGTGACAGGCTGTCACTGCGATCTCAGAGCCCTCTGATATATGTAACAGCCACCATGATCCCCCTGCAGATCGGTAGGGGGAGTGCTTGTACCACCCAGGCACTCCCCCTGTGGTCAAATAACCAATCTGCAGGAGGTGATCACAGTGACAGCCAGTCACTGTGATCACTATTAGAATGTGTCGTATTTTGTGAGGAAAAACATATTTAAAATTATATATTGGTTAAAATACTTAAATTAAGTAAAAATATGTTACAATTTATGGGAGACCCGCAGCCGACTTGGGGTCGACTTGGCGATGGATCCACACAAACTTATGTATTGCCATGGTTAGGGTACTAAAGAATGTTTATGCAAAAAAGGAGAAAATCTGTCCTATATAGTGTTAATCCAAAGGAATTATAAAGATGCAGAAGAGCAGTTAAAAAATTGTTATTATTATTTATTTATTGTTATACAACTTTAAAATGCAAAATAAGAAAAAGAAAGGAGAGGAGAGGGAAAAGGGAACAGATGAGAACATAGGCAAAAGGTTCCCTAGAAGGGGAAACAGAATTTACATTATAGTAATCAATGTGACATTGTATCACAAGGATAACTTAGATACTAAAATGTAACCAAACAGCTGTTACATAAAAAGCAGCTATTTAGAAACAAATGGATCCACTAAAAATAACTAAACGTTATTCAGAGTCCTACAGTAATCTGGAAAATAATTAAATCACCAGGGCACACCCCTATATACAAAGCCCTGCTAATACGATACAGTGTCAAAGGTAGAACTCTAAATAGAAAAGATATAAGTAGATAGAAAGGTGCCTTCATGGACACCTAGTATAGTAAAGCAATAGATAGGGAGAGTAGAGTGAAATACCTATGGATACTCTCTGGCATGGCAACAATCGTGCCAAATTACTATTGTGACGGAACGCTGGCACTCCGACTGAGTACCTCCGCCAATCGATGCTCCTAGTGCTCGCTGAGGACTCCAAGTACTCCAACCGACACCATCAGCACTGCAGACCCCACTTCCAGCGATGCAACTGCGCTGGGGTCTCTGCTGTTTCCACCCACCCTGGACCCAAGGCCAGGATCCAGCTTCCAGTGGGTGAACCTCTCTTTCCCCAGAGAGCAGGAACAGGAACAAATCAAGCTATTGCAAGAGCTTCCTCTGGGGAGTAAGTGATTATAGCAATCCCCAGAGTGTAGGTATCCCTTCCCCCAAACATGAGCCAAGGCTTAATGCTGGAACAAGACCGATTTACTGGCACACAGAACTCACAATTTATGCAACACAAAACTCCTCCTCTGGGCCAGGCTAGATAATTGAGTTTCTACAATACACAAAGCTCAATTATCTGCTGGCCAGAAATAATACAGTTTCATAAAACACACAGGGACCCCAAAACATGCAATAACCCCATAAAAAGTATATCCTTGGAACCGGGGGATCTGGTTGAACCACATATCCAAAATTCACCCAGATCCGTTCAGTACTTTGGAAAATACAGTTTAATGCAGATTCTGCAGAACATATACAGGCTAAATGAAAAACAATCACTTTATAATGTGTCCCCTGCTGTATAGTCCAAAACCACTGCACGATGTCTCTGTGCACCAAATACTGGCGAGATGGCACCGTGTTGAAAAGTCCAAACAGTGTCTGTGAGTTAAAATGGCCGCCATCCATTGTTCTCACCATGTGCTTCTGATACAGGAAATGGTGGCCACCCAGTAACTCCACAGTATGTCCCCAGATGGTTCTTAAAGGGCCAGCAGCAGCACAACACAAATCCATTATGCCCAAATCATGTCTTTAAAGGGCAACACATTCCAGGGGCCATAGTCACAGGGCAAGAGGCGGGCAAGCAGTCCTCTCCAGGCACAAGTGGTGAAGGGCACTTCGTCACAACTATTGAAAAATACCCTGATTAGTAAGAAAATTTATACAAATGTACTAAGGCAAAAAAATCTATCTCGTATCTTGTCTAGCTTCTAAGCAGGTCGGCAAGAACTGTATAAGCCGATCATGCAAAGGAGCAGACAGAGTAATTAAGCCAGCCAATATAAGTCTGGTAAAAAATCAGCCCAGAATCAGGTCTGTCTCCAGCCTAGTTAAATAGACTCTAGGAGAATCAGCACAAGGATGTAATAATCAATCTAACAGAGAGGCAGATAGAATAGCTATATAAGCCCATATAAATCGGGTTAATGTCAGCCCGAGATAAAATCTGCCTCCTGTATCATATAAATTCTAAATAAGTCGATAAGAAGTATACTGGCCGAGTGATTAGAGAGACTGATGGATTTAACTATCAGGCACCATACGAGTGGCTTGTATGAATAACAACTAAAGATAGAGACTGCCTGCTATATTGGAAAAGATCTCAGAAGATCGGTAAAATATGTAATTGCTGATCAGACTGAGAGTCAGGTAAGTTAACTAATGCACCCAATATCAATGAATTAGGAGGGTGTCAGCCTAAGGCACAACGGGTGTCAGCCCGTCACCATAAATTAGGTAAGTGTCAGCCCGTCAAGTGTCAGCCTGTCAATCCAACCCCAATCCAACCCCAATCCAACCCACTAAAGAATGTTTTAGGGATGGTGATCGGGATGGTTTGGAATAGGTATAATATACGTGGTAAGACATTCATCTTAACTGCGAGGATCCAGTCTTTTTTTGGTACACTGACCAAAATTGGTGTTCAAATTAGTTTTTTGCATTTTTCACACTCAAACAAATATTAACACTAACTTTGGCCAGTGTTTGTGACCAAGTGGCTACTAAAAAAAGACTGGACATACCCCATTTGCAATACCTTGGGTTGTCTACTATTTCAAATGGTATGCCATCATGGGGGTAATTCTTAATCCTGGGCTACCATACGGTCTCAAAGGCAGCGTAACCAATCGGGCGTATTTCGATGTAAAAAAAAATGAAAAATTTAACATGCTATATTTGACCCTGTAACTTCCCAAAACACCATAAAACATGTACATAGGGGTATTGTTTTACACGTGAGACATTGCTGAATACAAATATGTGTATTTTATTTCAGTAAAAGCAAACAGTATTATGACATTCCCAGTTAGAATGTGACGTAGAACCAAAAAAAATTCAAATTCTTATTTTTAAATATTTTTAAATATTTTATTCATATTAAATTATGTTTCATACCTAAATATTTGATGTTAAATGAAAGCCCTGTTTCCCCTAAATAAAATGATATATAATCAGTGTGGGTGCACATAATATGAAAGAGGCAAATTACGCCTGAACAGACATATAGCACAGATTCAAGTTTTGGTTTACGTTTTGTTTTGATCACAATGTGTACATTTGGCTCAGTCCTTAAGGGGTTAAAAGGCTCTGTTCATGTGAAGTATGTACTTTTGTACTACAGACAGAGAGACTGACCGTTAGCCTTAATTCTCTGGAACTGTTTTGGGCATGGGACCATGTACACGGGGGTCAAAAATAAGACTTTCAAGAATTTCCTGAACCCCTGCTCTGATCTGGGTGATTTTTGGATCTGTTGTTCACCCAGATCAAGGCTATCAGGGGATGTAAGATAGGGATATATTGTGTTTTGGGGTTTTGTAAAATATATATCTATTTTCAATTTGACAATTATTATTATTTTGAGCAATTAAGGGTACAGAAAAGAAGAGGGTGGGGGGAGGTAAATAGATGTCATCAATGCACAATACAAGATGCAAAGTATCAACTCAGCTGGCAATGAAAACACGTTTGGTGTACATGTCATGTACCCAGCAAACATTGTGTTCCACTTTCCTCACGGGTCATAATGCTGTGTTCATACATTTGGCATATCCCCATAGGGGGTCTAATAAATTCTCCCATCTCTCACTCTCCACGTCCCCGTGTCGGCCCGCAGTCTCCCACCCATTTGGTAGGTATATTCACATTTATTCACATTTATTTGGTAGGTACATTCACATTTATTTGGTACGTGATCTCCATGAGTCCCACATATCCCACGTTTTCAGGGAGGTGTGATTCGGTGGGAACAGTGTTGTGACGAGAGAAATCTCGCCACATTGCATTGGAGAAGCCTGGTTGCTCACCTGTTGCCTTTAGATTACGGCCCCATGTTAAAAGACATCTTTTTTACCTGCAGAAAAGATTGATTCGTTCTTTTCTACCTGGTGTTCCGTAGATTCAATCTACCAAACAACCGCACGAATGACTGGACCACCTGGGAGCTGGAGTGTGCTGGCAATTAACCTCCCTGAAGCTGCGGTTAACTGCAGCTTAATTGACAAATGCTGGGTGGCCGCCATTCGTATCACGAACACGAGGTTGCGGCCATTTTAAACATGCGAATGCACAGCGGTGTTCGGCGCTTAATTCATGGAACTGAAATCGGACACAGTTTTGCGAGAACACCGCTGAAGCCGCCGACCTCCCTTCTTGTTCGGTGAAAGTGCACAAACGTCCCGGTGGTCGGTAGTTTTGCTTGAATGTGTTATACCCCAGATAGGAATCCCATGGAGCTCATTCGCATGAAACTGACTGTGTAAAGACTTTGGCTCCATGGCGATTAAACTGTATTCGTGTGGTCTGAGTGCCATTCGCTTAATAATGTGCGCTCAGACCTGAGCTATCTGGGGATATGTTAAATGTATGCTTTTAATGTTATGTGTCTCACATAGTGTATTTTAATAGTAATTCATGTGTTAGTATCCCCATGTGCAAAATGGCGATTTGCCTTTGTCTTGGGAGATAATTGAATTAATTCTCAATTATCTACAAGGCAGAGGGGAGGAGTGTAAGCCGCTTGGATGCTTTTCCTATTCGTCTCCTAGCAGCGATTCGTATGGTTCCTGTTCGTGTGTTTGGAGTGCTATATTGGATTCCGTTCGGGAGTTTGGAGCATTCACTTATTGGCGGTTCATGAGTTTGGTGTTCTACAATAGCTGTGCCTGCATCTCTGGAAAGGGGGACGATCGCCCAAACGGTTTTTACCCTTTGTGTGCAAAACGGTCCGTTACAAGTATTTTTAATCCTTTTTCATACGAACACTATGTGTCCAGGTCTGTGAGAAAGCGCTGTACACA